ATCCTTCTGCCTCGATGGAAGGGTTAAAATGTCCTCAGTCTCTGCGGTCAAACAGCCCTTTCCTTTCTGTGCTGGTTGTCAAGAGATAGAGCATGACATGTTGGAATCCATCCTAATCACGCACACACACACACACACACACACACACACACACACACACACACACACACACACACACACACAGGCCAGCGGAATGACTCAGCGTCCCGGCAGCTGAGTGGATCTGACTGGACCTCCAGCGTGGAGTGACAGGGCAGTTTGTTTCTCTGCCGTCGTAAGGGATTTGCTTTCTCTGAGGCATTGGGGTGTCGGAGGGCAACGTCTGAATCAGGACTTTATGTTAGCACTTTGTGTGAGTAACAGTCTCAGAGTGTGTGGAAGAAGTAGAGGAGGATTAAAGGAAGTGTTAAGAGGCTTCTGTTAAAGAAACTGGAGTTGACGTTGTATGAAATGTGAGGCTACAGAGTGTGAAGTTGCTTTTCTCTCAGTTCCTCTTAATTTGATAACTCAAACTGGAAATATGACATGCCACTGATAATCCAACACATTACGGTGTTGTGGCAGGAGATTGAATAGGTGAAATGTGGCTTGAAAGTCTAGAAAGCAATAGCATTTAGGTAGTACTTAAACTTATTGAATTTTTTAATTTTGATTTTTTTTTTTTATTTGCATATATTAATACATTTTATTGGTTCTCAGAGACACAGATTACGCTGCTGTGAGCATGTAAGATTTGCTGCATAGACATGAATCCTGTCTCAGATCTAGGCAGGAGGAGCTGGGACGAGGAGGGGTTCAGAGGAACTGCAGGACTAGCTTACAGCAAACAATCACCCACACTATTCAAATGTTGAGCAAGCAATCTCATTGGCTGCAGGATCAGCAGAGGCCAATCAGCGTGTGCCATGCGGTGATGATGTCATTGTTTGTAGATTTCATTAGCCTACCCCCTCTAGAGTTTCATAACTGACTTAGATATTACTATATTTCAGATGCATTTTTAGTTTTGTCCCTATTATTCATATACCGAAAGCAGTGACGGAACTAGTTTTTTTTTTTTTTTTTTTTTTTCACACGTCATCATTATATCATTTACACACAAGTTCAGAAGGAACAATGGTCATATGTAGGTCGCGTGAATGGGGAACCCTAAAGAAGCTAGTAAAAGCTTTTAGGAGGGGGGCCAACACATAAACATACAACATATAATATATACAAAAACTCAATATACCATATACACAAAATAGACAAATACATAAAAACAACAGAAAACACTACAAACAAACAGTTTATGAAGTCATAAGTGTTCAGACTTAGAACTGAGAGCTAAGAATATCACAACCCTTAAAAAACAGCAATCCAATCCCTGTACATTAGCGCTCTCAAATGTTATATTACACGTGCACTGATGATGGAGGAGAATATCTCTCCTCTCTTCTGTGCTTCATTAAAATTCCCTTAACCAAGGGTCTGTTTTGTCTCATTTTTATGCTGATTCATTTATGTGATTTAGGCCTGAGAGAGGATGAGAGACTCAAATAAGCCTATACTTATGCGCATATCTTCACACAAACTCAATCAACATGCACACACACACTCTCACACTGCAGATCCACTGCACAACAAAACACACTGATCGAAATGTTATTGATGACTGATGCTGCGTCCCAATTCGCATACTATCCGTCCTAAATAGTATTCGAAAATAGAATTAGTACGTCCCAAATCGTAGTATGTTGAAATGAGTGTCCCAAAGAGACCCGGATGGTCTACTATATCCGGTCAGAATCCGAAGTGCAGATCGATGCGCACTCTAACGGCTGATATTGCCCACAACCCATCGCGCGTTGGACGAGGATTCGGCTAGAACTACAAACACGAGTGAAAAGTGTTCAAAAACTACAGACATGGAGGACGCGCGAGTCCGACGGTTATGTAGAGAGGTTTAAATAAAGGGGTTTGAGTGATTAATTATCAGTATCTAACCTGGCGAAAATGTATTTATTCAATGTTGTCCACATTATATTGCATCTGCAGCAGCATTGTGAACTTTTACAAAGATACGTTTAGCCATTAACTTTTAAATGCATTATTATATTCAAATTCCAAACACATGAGGAGAGTCTCCGCATGAAAGACCCATGACTGGCAGATGAACGTGCGACAACAATTCTCTCCGAAATGGTAAGAAGTTATATTAGATTGAATGGAGGATTTTAACTGTGACGAGATGATTGACAGGGCAGTTTACGGTGATAGGATGCACGCGACAGATCTGTCCGTTAAAGATGACGAAGTAGTATGTCCCAAAGCTTGCCTACTCTTTTGCTACACACTCAAAAGTATGTACTTTTTCTTCACAAAAAGAGTACATACTTTTAGGGCGTAGTATAAGTAGGCGAATTGGGACGCAGCATGAGTGAATGAGAGCCACTGTGAGACTTCCCCAAAACACCCAAAAACTTTCTTCATCATCACAGGATTTCTTTAATTGCTTAAAAGTAATCGCAGTCGCACCTGAAGGACTCTGACTGGCTCATGGTGACACAAAAGTCTTTATATAAAAGGCCATGTCAATCTCTGTTTAATATTCTTATATGTGGAATGATGGGCCTGGTCCTCGTTTAATTTGCAATAGCACTAAACATTTTCTGTTCGTAGGTGAATATGGACTGGAAAACAGTAATAGTACTTTTTTTATAAAGTATGATGATCCTTTTGCAAGGGAAAATAAAAATATTTCTAAAAAACATATTTTTCCATGTACAAATACCCATTTAAACTGTGAGAAAAATAGGATATATTACAGTAAATGTTATATATATATAATTCTGTCTGTATATAATGAAAGAGACATTTCTATTCAGTTTTAGAAATATATATAAAAATACACGTTTTTAAAAAGATGTTTTATTGCATGAAACTTTTAACATTTTATTTAATTTTAATTTAATTTTCAATTAAATTGTATCTACACTTTTTAAAACAAAATAGTTTAAAGTAAAATACAAACATATATAGTAGTAAATATAGTATTTATATAACAATATATTTTATTAATTATGTAATGTTATATATATATATATTTTTTTTTTTACTTTCCATGGACCCACTAGCATCACCATTGCCTCACTGATTTAGAAGATTTGAGATTTCGAGAAATTTGGAGTGAAAATAAATGCCAATAAAATTATTATACACTCACTGTGATGTCTCAGAAGGGCATGACCCCCCTATCTCTAAGTGTGTGTGTGTGTTCTAGGTGGCGGAGCAGCTGATGACCATAGCGTATGAGAGCGGGGTGAACCTCTTTGACACCGCTGAGGTGTACGCTGCTGGAAAGTTAGTATGACTCAGCATCAACAAGATTACCCATAATTCACTTTACTCCATGAGTCATTATTAACATCTCTGTCTTTCACAGAGCTGAAGTCATACTGGGAAACATCATCAAAAAGAAGGGCTGGAGGTACGGTTGATTGAGCTTTGTAGTGTATAGGGTTATGTCTCATTACACACACACACTTTTGATGGGGACTTTGATCTATAGGATGCTGTTCAGTTTCACTTAATCGATGCCAGGAGACGAGAGCATCTAGGTGAGGGTTGTGTTTGAAAAATGACTGATTTGTCAATTTAAGTGAGATTCATTATTCGCTGCAAGATTCACAGCACTTTCCACCAACACATCTGGACTGATGTTGTCTGTAAATGTTTAATGGATGTACATAAAGATGAAGTGACCCCTGGGATCCACATTAGCTGTGTAGGGAAAGTTGTTACAGATGAAAAGATGAAAACGGGGTACGTGCATTATGCATACTGCTTACTACACTGTGGTGTACTGCGAATACACACTAACCACTGCCTGATGACCGTATGCAGTCTGTTCCCTACGATTGAGGGGGTGTGCAACTTGTATTTACAATCATTTCAATAGTTTGGGGTCAGTAAGAATTTTATACTTTCAGAAAGGACATTAAATTGATCAAAAGTGACAGTAAAAAATCATCAGGGACTTTTCTTCATATGTTTTGGGAGTGTCCAATTGTTGCCAACATATGGGATAATGTAAACTTGGTTCTATCCTCCTTACTACAAATTGATTACATGTCTAATCCATGTTTATGTCTTCTCAATGACGATTCTGAATCATGTATAAGTTCATTGCAAAAAAGAATGTTGTTTGCTGGGTTTACAGCTGCGAAGAAGACAATAATACAGAACTGGTTTACTCCGCACATGTGAGCAAAAACATATTGGATTCATAGCCTCGACAAAATAGTGACCTGTGAATGTACAACAGCACGAATTAACAAGGCTCAACCTAGAACCATTGATGCATGGCAATGTTTTTTCTTCCAAAATATTGGATTATATGAAGGAATGACTATTTAAAGATCTCCTTCCTTTTTTTATTATTATTATTTTTTTATTATTATTATTTTTCTCTGTCATATTATTAATGATTTGATTATATGTCTGTTACTCCCCCGTCCCTGTCTTTTTTGTCTGAGTGGATGTTTGTTTTATTTTTATTTCTAAAAGACAATAAAGAATTGATCACAAAAAAAAGTGACAGTAAAAACATTTTTATATTATTACAAAACATTTCTATTTCAAATAAATGCTGCTCATTTTACTTTTCAAATAATTCAAAAATACGTATCCCATTAAAATATATTTAAATAGAAAACATTTTTTTCTTAATTACAATAATATATCACTATATATTACTGTTTTTTTGTTGTTGTTACAAAAAAACAAAAAACGGGTGGCATCCATAGACTGTAAAAAAAAGATGGACGACGCCCCTTCGCTCTCTTCGGCCCTGTCCCAAATGGCACACTCCGGACTTGTGGATTTCCTCAGAGTCCACACTTCAGTGACGTCATGTAGTGCAGACCTATAGGGCCCTTAGCGCGAGTCCGCGAGGGCGCATTGAGAGGTATTTTTGGGACAGACTCGATCGTCACGCCGGAAACAGGAAGACGGTCTGGTCTGGTTGTTGTTATGGACAGGAGCTACAGGTTCGGGGAAATATGCTGCCTGTTGTTGTTGTGTTTACATATAATATGACTCAGTAAAGCCCTGACATTCTGTTCTATTTATTTAATGAATCATAATGCGATCGTATTATTCAGCTCGCTATTATTAGCCTATGTTTGAGACATCAACCACTGGTTGATGATCATAATGTTTGTATAAACTTGTCATAAAAACCGTAATGATAATTACACTTAAATATTTTGTTCTCAGCCATGTTAACAATTGTCCGTGAGCGAAATCTCCTCCCATCCGTTGTCTGATTGGCCTTTCGCAAGGATTCCTGGGTAGTTAAAGTGCGTGGAGCCTGCATCTATGTGGGCTTCGCGGAAGACCGCTTCAAGGGTACACAGGGGGCGCTGCTGAGCACACTTCAGAGCGTTAAAATGCTAAATGGGACGGCCTATGGACTCGTAGACTCGGCGAGCACGCGCAATTTAAGTCCACGAGACCGAAAGTCCGCATGAAGTGCGCCATTTGGGACAGGGCCTTCCATTGGTCAGGAGTGAAGCTGCGAGTGTTCCGATATGGCGCTGACATCTCGGGACCAGACCTGCGCAGTCGTGAGCAGGAAGTAAAGCCGCGAAATCAAGGCCCCGCCCTCACTCTCGCAGAATCAATCGCAAGCACACGCTCCAGCACTTTTTAAAAATTAATTATAGAAATTTAGATATTCAATTTAAAGCTCCAATCTCCTCAGTCCTCCGAAGACCCCGAAAAAAAAGTCTGTTGGTGCTTCAGTGACTACTTCACTCAGAGAATCTGTCAATCACAGCTGTCAATCATGACATCACCACCACCGTATCAAATAACTAAAAACAAACTTATTTTTAAAACAAAAACTTGAACTTACTACAGTACTACAGTAAATGACAGAAAGCATATTTGGAAAAACGATATTTGAAGTGTAATTTAATTGTTTAGTTGGTCTCACGTGCCAAACACGGGGAGGCGGGGCTTATGAGCTATACTAGGACCAGCCACCGGGGGGCGATCGAGACGTTTTGGCTTCACTTTTCAGGGCTTGTGCGGCACGCTTGGTGGCATCCAGTTAACATCTGTTTACATAACATCAAGTTATTTGGTGTTTTTAATACAGTTTTTGCATTACAGTGTCTTACCACTTGACAGATTATAATGTTATTCCCAAGATTACCATGGATCTCTCTCTCTCTCTCTCTCTCTCTCTCTCTCTCTCTCTCTCTCTCTCTCTCTCTCTCTCTCTCTCTCTCTCTCTCTCTCTCTCTCTCTCATATATCTCATCAGACTGATCTGTAGTGTTCAGATTTCCTCTGTCCCACAACTAATTTAATCTGGCCCCTTTTATGAGCTTCCGAATCCATAACCGTGCTGTTCTGCTGATAGATGTCGTCGTCCCACCGCAGTGAACACACACACACACACACACTGGTGTCTGGATATTCATAACCCCCAATCAAAATTCATCAGCACATCTGGACTGATCTTGTCTGTAAATGTTTAATGGATGTACATTAAAGATGAAGTGACCTGATCCACAGCTTTAATGAACAGAGCAGAGACCGTTTGCTGTCGAGTTGCCCTCTCTTCTGTCTTTCATTACTTCACTTTCCTACTCAATCTTTCATATCTTTCAGTTCATTCTTTCTCTCTCTCCCATATTCTAATTCCTGCCCCATTCCCCACTTTCCTTCCTTTTCTTTCATTCTCTTTCCTTTTTTCTCACTCCTTCCATAGAGATGATGGTGTGAAGTTCACATGTTTTTACACCAGCTGTTTGTTTGCTATCACAGTGACAATTGGTGTGAAATGCGAAACTCATAATACACTGGCCCACACACACACTGGCCTAATATACAGTATGTGTGAAATTTCACAGCCTCAACTTTCTTCTTTAAACTGTATCTTAATTATTTTGTAAGGCCACGATTTAGAGGGCAGCTCTCAGTTGTGAATGTAGGACACAGCGAGAGTTCACACCAGTGAAATCTCATTTACACCGTTTACAACGCAGAGTAGAGCGAGTCTCTCAGATTATTGCCAAACCAGCAACAGGTGAAGGTTACACACGTATCACACACTGAGCAGTGACATCTCTCTCTCTCTCTCTCTCTCTCTCTCTCTCTCTCTCTCTCTCTCTCTCTCTCTCTCTCTCTCTCTCTCTCTCTCTCTCTCTCTCTCTCTCTCTCTCTCTCTCTCTCTCTCTCTCTCTCTCTCTCTGCTTCCTGTTTGATGAAGTCATGTGACCAATGAACGAGCGAATAGCTGACGTTCAATTTCAATCAGACTACAACCATAATTTGTCTAAACTAAACCGTTTAGTCTGACTGAATTCACACAGATCTAGATGATAATGTATGGCTTCATCCAGCATGTTAATCAGACTCCATTGTGCAATTCCCCGTGAATCTTTGCATAATTTGCATAATAAATGTCTGATATACACTTCCGTTTAAACGTTTGGGGTCTGTAAGATTGTTTAATATTTTTGTCTCATTTGGTCGCATTTATTTGATCAATAATACAGTAAAATTGTTACCATTTAAAATAAGAGTTTTCTATGTGAATATACGTAAAGTGTAATTTATTCCTGTGATGATAAAGCTGAATTTTCAGCATCATTACTCCAGTCACATGATCCTTCAGAAATAATTCTAACATCAGGAAACATTTCTCATTGTCATCAATAGCTACGTTTACATGCACTCAAATAATCAGATTGAAAAGGTTTGTGTAAACACGAACAGATTGAAAGGGGTAATGTAGGCCTGAAATAATTCAGTCGATAGGGGGAAAGCACGTCAAGTCTTCTCAGTCGCAGAAATACTTTGCGCACATGCACAGTGTTTACGCAACCCGATCACACTAAATGCGTCTCTATAGCACGCAGTGTGTTTATCGTGCAATTTATCCGCCAAAATGAGTTTTTACGTGCATATGATACGCATGGGTTGGTTAGGGTAGGTTTAGTAGTGGTGTGGGGTGCGTGTGCAAATGCACGTAAAAACTCATTTTCGCGTATAAATTGCACGATAAAACACGATGCGTGCTATAGACGCATTTACCTGTTATAAAAAGATCTCTGTTTATATACATTTTACATATTACAAACTTAATATTCAATAAATATTTTCATAATTTTCATTTTTAAAAGCTCTTATGACATAATGCAGCTTTCTTTTTAGGAATGTCATCAAGGCAAAAGCGAAAAATAATTAAATAGTCACAGTAGTTCTGGTGATTTTATCAATGAAGGGCACTGCGCATGCACAACATATCTGTTCAATAAAACATTATTCACCTGTTGAGTTATAAAAACACCATTTCTGCGTCGCTTTTACAACATTTCAAATCCCACAGTTCTCACCATCTCTGAAAAGCCAAGCCGATGTGCATAATTTAACTCACTTTTCCCTCTCTCCTTCCTCCTTTCCTTAAGGCGATCCAGTCTGGTTATTACCACAAAGCTCTACTGGGGTGGAAAGTGAGTAAACTGTCTTCACATCTGTCATGATAACTTTTATTTCATAACTCGCGCTGTTGCACATTCTAAAGGGCAGCACACTTAACGCCGACATCCGTACATTCCCACATTTCATAAATGCAATTATAGACGTGAGTTCAGGGCAAGTGCTGACCCAGTGTTTTCTCAATGAGGAAGTATTCTGGGAGTCCGTGAGCAGAAGCAGAAGTGCAGCTGCCGAGCTCGATAAGACTAAAGAAAAGGCCTGTCCCTTTTCCCCACAAATCCTCTCTCATGAATAATAATTAGCATTTAAATATGCCAGCGTTTTATATGGAGTTGAAAAGTGAACATTTGCAAAGTTTGTCCCAGTTTGGAAGAGGAAAAATGTCTCGTATGTTAGACTGAACTCAACTTTGTGATGTACGTCTGTCTTTGCGTGTCTCCTTTTTTTGCCACAGAGCCGAGACCGAACGAGGCCTTTCTAGGAAACACATTATTGAAGGTGAAGTACACTTTCTCTTTCTTAAATCCTCTCGCTGTGTGATCACAGCTTGTGTGTGTGTGATGTGTTTGTCTCGTCGCGGGGCATTGATTGAGTGGTTTTGGTGTTAGTGTCGCTCTGGCAGGCAGAACTAACAGATAGCAGGGCTAAAGAGGACGGAGCCTCACACACACACGAGAGGGACTTGCCAAACGACTTCAGTCTTTGCACAGAATCAAGCCGAGAATGAATGCCCAATCGCCCATGCATCACATGACTCTATCTTGACTGAATTTCATCTGACACACACAGGCACCTTGAATTTTCGTTGCATTTCAGCATGCCGTGACAGCACTGACGTGGTTTGATCTGTTTCATTTGTGGGTGAGCTATTCTTTTAATATTACAGGATTAACTACTGCCCTGCAAAACCAGTTATGTTGTTATTCACACAGTAGATGCTGTGAGTAGGTTCAGTTACCTTTGGTGTGAAAGTAGAGGAAATAATACACACCCTGGCCTAGATATTCAGGGTTACATGGTGGATGAATGATTGGTTGTGTGTGCTGTTCTGCACTGGCCCTTATTTTTCTTCCATGCCAGCAAGTTTGGGGCCAGACGCCTATTTTATAAACCTAGAGCTCAGGATACACACTCCTGTAACCCACCTGCAGCTCCCTGCATTAGGTGTGAACACACCAGCCGTATATTTGCATGATTGCATTTGCTTCAGTCATTGGTCTGGTTGCAAATCTCACACACACACACACACACACACGGATACAGAAACCTTTCTACATTTTTACATAAAAAAAAAAACACACACTTAATATCTAGTTAATACAACTATAAGCTGTTTTCCTCATAGGAACCAAAACATGTCCCCACAAGGACAAGGATTTCGGATATTTCCATCTTTGTAGGGACATTTTGACCCCGTAACGTAGGGTTTACCTGAACCACACTTACACACACACACACACACACACACACACACATACATAAAGGTGGGCTGAGATACATTTGTGGCACATACACATTTTGACACACAATCTGTCTCTCAGGATACACAGAAATATTGTGTAAATACACAGATTTTGTGTATGTGGTCCTGTGAAATGAAGTGACATCCCTTCCCCACGATTATCAATTTATGTCATAGTATGACAGTCTGGATTAAGTTATTTAAAAACTGCACTTAAAATACAATTCATGCAATGCATACAACAACTTGAATACTTGATGAGCGAGGTTCATTTGTGATATAAAACTTGCAAAAAATTTACAGAGAATTAAAAAATATATATATATGTTATATGATAATGATTAAGATGGAATGGAAATGGCAAACTCAATTGAGGCGGATACATTTTTGATCCGATAAAAAGACTTGCGCACAAATTACGATGAAAAACATTTACCGAATATATTCCTTTGATGCACAACAAACTCACCTGTGGATTTGATTGGATAACTGGACTAACCAAGTGACCAATCGCATCACAGCATCTCAATTGTTAGTTTGATCATTCTAAAATAACCAACAACAAAAAAAATACTTGCAAATGAGTATCAAAATGTTATTAGCAACAAGTTCCTTGTTTTTTTAGATTTTTGACCTACCCATGTGGTCTTTGTTCTTACGCACCCATCACCTGCAGGTGTGCGATGGTGAATGCTAATGGTTTGATCATTCTGAAATGCCCGAGACAAAGTCTGTCATCAGAATGATTTGGTTTAATTTCCTCCAGAAGCGTCTCACATGATGCGTTCACAAACACCAGCATCCGAACGCAAGATAACATGACAGCGTTTATTGCGTTTCAGAAGTCATTTACGATGTAGAAAAAAAGAGAAACAGCGGCTTCCCCAATTGCAGCAACTTCCATTTTAATTACAGATATTCACGCAAATTTTGCACTCATGAACATATGGGATGCAAACGCTGCTTTATTTGCAAATGTTTTATGCGATATTGCAACTTTGCACGTAAGTTAAATTCACAAATTTGGATGGGAACACAGCTCTCGTTGTGCTACTTTCCACTATATTATTGATCAATCGCACAAACTGCTGACGGACACCATCATTTCCTGACTGTAAAGCTTCATCTGACCTCAGGATGCGGACCCTGTCCGAGTGAGCCTCTAGAGATGGGCACAGGAGGGAATCCAGTCCCAATCAATCCAGCCGAATTAAAGACAGAGACATAACGAGTGAATGAGCCCTGGGGCCCTGTACAGAAAGAGCTAGATTACTGCAGAGTCCCCCAGACTCACACAGCTGAGGGTCCCTCGTCTGCGGCGCATGATCGAGTCTGTCCTGATGTAATGAAGGCTTGAAATTCTTCATGGTATAAGAGCCGTCAGCAATCTGTGATCTGTCATAGCATGCACCTTTTCAATTAGCACAAACCTGTCTCCCATGCACAGCTAATCACGCTATATTGTTAGGTAAACACTACCAGACTTTTTGAAAAGGAAGACAAACAAATGCTCAAACACATTCGCAATAACCGTCTCCTCTTTCAGGTCTCAAGGGCTCTTTGCAGAGAATGCAGCTGGAATATGTAGATGTGGTCTTCGCCAACCGGCCCGACAGCAACACACCGATGGAGGGTGAGTTTGGCCAGATATACACTAATGTTCACAAGTTTGGGGTCAGTAAGTATAGCAAGCAGGGTGGGGCCGAGAGCCTTGGGAACGGAGCGAGTAAGATTTAAAAAATGTCACATTTGCTTATACGCATTTATTTGATTAAAAATACAGCAAAAACAGTAATATTCTGAAATATTATTACAATTTGAAATAATAATGTAATCTATTCCTGGAATGGCAAATATGAATTAACATTCTTCAGTTTCACGACATGCCTTAAGAAACATTTCTGATTATTATCAATGTTGAAAACAGTTGTACTTCATATTTTTGTGGAATCTGTTTTCCCAAAATTCTTTAACCCCTTAACTGTCACCGTCCCGTATACGGGACGCCTAACTTTACTTCGCTATATCACTATTAAATCCTAATCTAATTATGACAAACTATATATGGTTGGAAAGGTCTAAGACTCCTAAATAGATATTTGACTGCTGTTTTTTTGCTACAAATTATGTAGGAAGAGTAACCGATGAATTTTTGACAAGAGTGCACCTCAAAAAAATCTGCATCATAACAGGAGTTCTGACCTTTGTCACAAAAAGTTGACGCACACACCTTTAATAATTGAAACTTTGGTTTTCATGCTAAAAGTTCATAATAAAACATATAATCTAGTATTTTTTAATAAAAAATTTATAATATAATATTATCCTCTAAAAAGTATAATATGTATAATATCCTCTAAAATATAATATTATCTTTTTTTATCGCCTTTTTTTATTATATATATTTTAGTAGTTATCATAAATTAGGTATCATTTGAAAGCTTACAAACTCAGAATTCATCCTGTGAAAACCGTTTTTAAATTGAACGTTGTGTTACCATAGAAACGGTACTCTAAAATATTTTGTCAGGCTCCTCCCCTTTTGAGCATCATTATATTTCATAATTTATGATCAAAACCTTTTCTAATCTTGACAAAACACATATTTTCAGAAAGGTCTGAGTCTCAAGGTTCCAAATTTTGTGACAGAATTGATATTTGGACAGAAATTTATTAATTTGTTAAGGCAGAATGTATACAACTAAATTCAATGGAATGTAAGTTACCCAGTGGCTATTTTTGGTACTGCACCTAAACAAAATCTCATGGGAACTTAAATTTTTGTGATATCAACTTCAAATTTGGAACATAACTTGGTTAGATATATGGCTTTGATTTTATAGTAATTTTATAGTAAAAAAGATTTTGTAAAATATATATTTTATATAAAATAAAAAATATATAGTACAGTATATTTGATTTACTGTAAATTTAAACTTCCATAACTTTTTCATACTTTAATTTTTTAAGCGTTTTCACTTTAGCAATAATCTTCTGAGTGTTTCCTTTAAAACAAGACCAAACTTAGGTATATATTCCAAAGCATTCTTGAATTACAACCATTTAAGTTTGAATAGTGCATTTTAACCCCCATTCTCAAAAAGGGGGGTGACGGCTAAAGAATGTTTAAAAGCATTTAATTGAAATCCAAATCTACTGTATGTCACTTTTGATCCATTTAATGTATCCTTTCTTATTAAAAGTATTAATTTGAAAAAATCTTGCTTACCCCAAACTTTTGAACAGCAGTGCATGAAAATCATTACATTAATTGACTTGTTCATGGGAACATCTTGAAGACTTTAGTAGACTTTGGTAGATTTGGTAATTCAAAAAAATGTTACCTTATACCTTCACCAAAGCACTTTGAGATACTCTCTAGAAAAGTGCTGTGATGTTAGCAACGACAATACTGCATCAAAAGCCAGAGATGTACAAAAGAATGAGTGTTGGTGTCCTGCAGGCACATCCATCTGAGGTCTAAGTGCTCTGAAATATGTATTCATGATAACAGGGTTATGATTAAGTGCAGTCCCCGAGGTGCCATTCTGAACAACCAGACTTCTTACTTCTACCCGAGGAACGCAATGCAGCCAGTAAGCCACCAAACTGCTGTTACAACCCTGTGCAGCCCAAAGCTTCAAGTGCAGTCAGCCTGAAAATCTAATCTACTGTTTATAATGTGCTTTTCGTACAAACCACAGAATAGCGAAGTCTCTTGAACAGTGTACAGAGAGAAACAACTGCACCAAGAGAAAATGTGCTTTAAAATGAGAACCTGCTGTCGATGACGTTTTTAAAACTGAGTGTTTTACTCTCAGAAGAGCAAAATGAAGAGAAAAAAGATTGTTCCAGCCTCTTTGACCTTCATTAAGGAATGACTAGCTGATTTTCTCTTTCGTTTACCCATCGTATTATCTACATGCATATGCCAAAAGCATAAATACATAAGGAGAAGAGAGAAGAACAGATAGAGGAAGATGGAGAACATGAATGATAGAAGCAGAGTGATCGGCTTCAAAGTAGTTTTTCTTCTGAAGACCAGAAACAGAAGCGAATGCACATGCATACTTGACACTTGTGCATTCTTGCTTTACTGTGGCAGTAACAACAGTTGTTCAATAATTGTACTAAAGAGAAAATTGACTGAAGAATTGGAAGAAACTAACCCGCCTACAGCACCCCTAGTGATAAAGCGCAGCGCATAGCTTATAACTGGGATGAGAATGCACTGTCCTGTGAATTTAATTGAGCCTGCATAGCTAGAAGCATTTGTTTCACATACTTTCAGAAAGTTTCATGCCTTAGAGACAACCATGGAGGGATTCAAGACAATTTATGATCTCTCAGGATGGTGCTAATTAGTATAAAGCATGTTAAAATGCTAGGCAAGCTGTTTTAGCCCTTTGCTTAAAATGTCTCTACTATCTGGCAGATATCACTGAAATGGCTGCCCTAGAGAAATCGCAACGTCTACGTCAGGGATCCAAACTCAGTCCTGGACGGCCACTGTCCTGTAGAGTTTTGCTCCAACTAGCCTCAACACGCATGCCTAGACGTTTCTGGTCTGTAAGACCTTGATTAGCTGGTTCAGCTGTGTTTAATTTGGGGATGGAATTAGGGGTGCACGATATATCGGCCACCATATCGGTATCAGCCGATTATGTTCATTTTTAATGTTATTGTCATCGGCCTAATAAGAAAATTTGGCCGATATATTAAAGCTGATAAATAATGGATTAGTTCCTTCAGCTGAGAGACTTCAGATGCGCACTGTTCGCCATTATGTATTTGAACAGCTTTAAATATGATTGGAATCACTTAAAAAAAAGTGCAACGTGCAGCGCATATCGGCTACATACAATTATAATGAGAACATTATAATTGTGTGCTTGGGACATGACTTTTAATGTCATTTGTTTTTGTAATCAGGCTCTCAAAAATTATATAAAAATTTGTATTTACATTTATCGGCCAATATATTGATTATCGGCTTTCAAATATCGGTATCGACCGAACTTTTCATATCGGTGCATCCCTAGTTGGACCTTAATTCTTGTGTAGGACAGTGTCCCCCAGGAGCAGGTTTGGACACCCCTGGTCTATGTGACTGCCTTGAACTCTGTAAATAGCAGGGAAGCAGTAGCTTATTCATAAAGAAGCAAAGTTAGCAAAATGGCTTAAATCGCTTAGAGCACAGTTTGGAGCTAGAAATTAGAGATTTTTTATTTCCATTTTTTCTAAACTCAATCAATATTCTCTTGGGCGAGGGGATCAGTATGCCCTTCTGGTAATACATGAGCTGCTCTGTTGTGTAGCATTTAGGGCTTAGTAATATTTCAAAGCTCTGCGCCAGATCCCAAGGTCACCCTGACTCAGCCAATACTTTCAGACTTCTCTACTTTAACAAGCTTTTCAGCTCTCTCTAACACAGCCTGACAACCTGCTACTCTTGATTGATGTTCTTTTAACTTCCATTTACTGTTTTTACATCATCCTCTAGCACAACAAAGTTGATTTGTTACAAACTCAGTTAATTTATGATAAATGTCATAGACAGTCTCAACTCACAGAGCGAACTGCAAAGACCCCAAAATGATTCCATTGGCTGAAATTAACACTAGAGCCAACAAAACACAAAAATAATGATTACATATTATCCATTAATAAAGACATTTTAATGCAGTTCCTTGCACAATAGTGTGTTATGATGACCTCAAAACATTTATACCATAGTGCATGATTTGTAAACTAATAAGTTTTGATGTTTGCAACACATAAACAGCTCCATATGTTTGACTTTTCTGACATGGTAAACTTGTTTGGTAGCTCACCTGGTACAGCAATGCACTTAGCAAGCTAAAATGACATGGATGCTTCAGCAAATGTGTTTTTATCTCACATTTTCTTTTGTTAGGTTTAATGTAGGTAGTATGTTATTTTCAAACATGATTGAAAATTCTCATATGTACAAAAATCACCGTAATAAAACATTGTCAGATTCACGTCCATCAGAAAACTATAAAAAAGTGCTTTTACCGCCACTTTAGCGTCCTTGTTATGTGTGCACGCCTCCCATACCGGAAACGCCAGTTCAAATCCCGCTCGAAGTAGAACCGGAGGATTTACATTGGTGCCGTGACCCGGATGGTATAGAGGTTAAGGGAGATGAGTATAACAGAGGCCAGCTAGAAAAACCCAGCTCCCCTGGAGGCGCACTAGTGACTGACATCAAAATTTATAGGCAAGACAAGTAGTTTGTTTAGGCATGGTTTGTAGGGAATTACAGACCTGCGTGCATATATTCATATCTACGCACATAACTATAGAATCAATTCTTAATGCGCATGTGAACGCCGTCAGCGTTTATCACAGGTTCGCGTTTAAAGTCTGTTTAGAGAGAACCTTATCTAATAACAAATGATCATTTCGACGGAAGTGAATCAATCAAAACTAACCGCTATAAAACCAAACCAATCTCTGTTACCTTAAATTATGTTAAATTAATTATGTTTATCTCTGTAAAGCTGCTTTGAGACAATCTACATTGTTAAAAGCGCTATATAAATGAGGATGACTTGACTTGACATTCAAGTCTGTGTCCTTGTTAGTAGTAGAACTGGAGGGGTTGCATTGGTGCCGTGACCCGGATGGGACGGTTTGGTGGGGTGAGTGTAACAGAGGCCAGCTAGTAAAACCTCACTCCCCCTGGCCTCAAGAGGCACATTAGTGTCAGACACTAAAGGCTGTATCGTTGTTAGTGAGCCTGTGTGTCTCATGCCGGAAACGCCAGTTCGAATCCCGCTCGAAGTTGAACCGGAAGAGTTGTGTTGGTGCCGTGACCCGGATGGGATGGTTTAGGGGGGTGAGTGTAACAGAGGCCAGCTAGTAAAACCTCACTCCCCCTGGCCTCAAGAGGCACATTAGTGTCAGACACTAAAGGCTGTATCGTTGTTAGTGAGCCTGTGTGTCTCATGCCGGAAACGCCAGTTCGAATCCCGCTCGAAGTTGAACCGGAAGAGTTGTGTTGGTGCCGTGACCCGGATGGGATGGTTTAGGGGGGTGAGTGTAACAGAGGCCAGCTAGTAAAACCTCACTCCCCCTGGCCTCAAGAGGCACATTAGTGTCAGACACTAAAGGCTGTATCGTTTTTAGTGAGCCTGTGTGTCTCATGCCGGAAACGCCAGTTCGAATCCCGCTCGAAGTTGAACCGGAAGAGTTGTGTTGGTGCCGTGACCCGGATGGGATGGTTTAGGGGGGTGAGTGTAACAGAGGCCAGCTAGTAAAACCTCACTCCCCCTGGCCTCAAGAGGCACATTAGTGTCAGACACTAAAGGCTGTATCGTTGTTAGTGAGCCTGTGTGTCTCATGCCGGAAACGCCAGTTCGAATCCCGCTCGAAGTTGAACCGGAGGAGTTGTGTTGGTGCCGTGACCCGGATGGGACGGTTTAGGGGGGTGAGTGTAACAGAGGCCAGCTAGTAAAACCTCACTCCCCCTGGCCTCAAGAGGCACATTAGTGTCAGACACTAAAGGCTGTATCGTTGTTAGTGAGCCTGTGTGTCTCATGCCGGAAACGCCAGTTCGAATCCCGTTAGAAGTTGAACCGGAGGAGTTGTGTTGGTGCCGTGACCCGGATGGGACGGTTTAGGGGGGTGAGTATAACAGAGGCCAGCTTGTAAAACCTCACTCCCCCTGGCTGTGTCCTTGTTAGTGAGCCTCCCATGCCAGAAAGTGGGGGTTACACATAAGATAATACACATGAACGTAATATCATTTTGCAGCAATGTTGCCATGGGCATGTTTTTCCAATGAGCCCGTGTTGCTTAATCATCTATGCTTCTTATCTTTAAACATGGGTTTGACGTTGACACCCCTCTCTCACTGTCTGTCTCATAGACCTGTGCAGGCAGTTCGCTATGCAGTGCTTTTCTGCTGCATTGATGCGTAAAGTGTCCAGAGTTTGGTGCTCATCACTGTGTGCAGTGCATATTAAAGTTCCTCAGTAGCTCTGCAGTCCCTTGCTTTCTCGCTTTTCGTCAGCATGAAGGGTAAAAGCTGAAGGGAATATAAAGTTACACTGCACTTCAGCATTCTTTTATGACTCACGAGTGCGCTTATTGAATTGAGTGAAACCACACAAAAGTACGTCAAGCTGAACTTAATGAACCCAAGCTGATACACAGTGAATGAAAATATATTGCACCATGCCAGCTGAACTGTCATCACGTATGTAACAGGAGCACATCGAGTTCAACTCTAATCACACACAGCTTTAAAGAATTTCACAATTTAGCTAATTTACACCAATCTGACATTTATGACTAATGATCAGTGGAACTATTCTAGTTTATTGTTTTATTTTAATGACAGCCTAATTTGTTTTTGCTTGTTCTGCATTTTTTCAACATAAACTAAATAAAATGAAAGATTAAATTCTCATAACGCCCTTGTGAAAAAGAGGGATACTTAAGTACTTTTAAAAAAAAAAGTATGCTAAAGTATATTCTTTTACAATATATTATTTTCTTAAGAGGGAACTGAATGCTGGTCCAATGTTTTTGGACACTTAAGCCGCGTTTCCACCGCAATTGCCCGGAACAATTTGTCCCAGGAACTTTTTTCCCAGGAACTTTTTTTGCCCCAGACCGGTAGCTTTCTGCGTTTACATCGCGGTCTAAAGTACCGGGTAAACTGCGCGCGACTGCTCATTGCTTGCTTGTGACGGACAGTAGACTGTAAAAGACAGTAATCAGTTTTGAGCGCCACATTTATAATAAATATGGAAGAGATTCACACTGTGCTGCAGTTGTTTGAGATGTATTGGTTTTGGTTTACTAACCAGGTAATTAACAAAACGGCAGAAAAGAGACGAGCACTGATACTAAAGCGTGTTCAGAAAGCTCGTAATGCTAACGTTAGATCTAAAATTAGACAGCGTATGTTATCAGCTATTGCGGACATTGACCGTGAGAAGGCTGGGACGAACGCGCAGAAAATTTCTCTTCCGCAAATACGCTTAAAGGGATACTGCACCAGTTTTTCTTATTAAACTATGTTATTCCCTTAACTAAGACGAGTTGATACATACCTCTCTCGTCTCAGTGCGTGCACTATATCGCTCTGTATTGCCGCAAAACTATGTTAGCACTTAGCTTAGCCCATGCATTAAATATGGGCCAAGCAGAGAAGCGACCAAACACTTCCACGTTTTCCCTATGTAAACACAGTTACTCGAGTAGTGTAACTTGACCTGGGCTGGTGACACAAAATAAACCGTTGCGCTTTTCTAAGCGTTTAAAATTGATGACTATATTGTATGGCGGAATACCATAACAAGTGCTTTTGAGCACTTCGACTTGGCGCAATAATATCTTCACTCGTGAAAAGTCCCGGCTCCCGCTTCCTCTCCCCCTCCCTCTCATTTCCGTCAATACAACCAACGTGACATGCGCCGGTAGTAGTAGTTTGAGCGGAGTTGACGAAGTAACAGGTTGTTGGAAGCTAGTTTGTATACAATCATGGTTAAAACGTGCATCGTAAAGGGTTGTGAAAATAAGGAGAATGTACATAGTGCTGTCATTTTTCACCGAATTCCAACACACCACATACAGCGGAGAGCTTGGTTAGCTGCTTTCGGGAAAGCTCCGGTCTGTTCTGGATCATATCTTTCCCTCTCACGGTCCATAAGAGCTAATTCCTCCTCTGTGTACTCGGGTTCAAACAGATATGGCTCTGGGTCTTCTACAAAGAAGTCATAATCATCTACAAAGTCCGCCATTGCAAATGATCTGCAGTTTGCTAATAGCACAGCACAGGTAGTAAAAGTCACGTTGGTTGTATTGACGGAAATGTCAGAGGGAGGGGGAGGAAGCGGGAGCCGGGACTTTTCACGAGTGAAGATATTATTGCGCCAAGTCGAAGTGCTCAAAAGCACTTGTTATGGTATTCCGCCATACAATATAGTCATCAATTTTAAACGCTTAGAAAAGCGCAACGGTTTATTTTGTGTCATCAGCCCAGGTCAAGTTACACTACTCGAGTAACTGTGTTTACATAGGGAAAACGTGGAAGTGTTTGCTCGCTTCTCTGCTTGGCCCATATTTAATGCATGGGCTAAGCTAAGTGCTAACATAGTTTTGCGGCAATACAGAGCGATATAGTGCACGCACTGAGACGAGAGAGGTATGTATCAACTCATCTTAGTTAAGGGAATAACATAGTTAAATAAGAAAAACTGGTGGAGTATCCCTTTAATAAAGCCTGAATCTCGTCGTCGGTCCAGCTGCCTTTTTTATTTTTATTAAATTCCATATTTGCAGACAGACAACTCTTACTGCATGGAACTTCATTACTGCATGAAGCCACGAACTGCAATAGATTCTAAAAATTCCGGTTAAAATAAAATGCTGCGCGGAGTTATCCAATCATAATGCGGCGTGAACACAACCAATCAGCATGTTCAGCGCACAAGCCCCACCCGCGAAAGTTCCTGAACTTTGAAAAAGTACTACCTCGCGAGCAGGGACTTTCGGAGGGGGAAATATCTACCCGGAACTTCATTTAGACCCTGGTTCCTGCGGTGTAAACACACCGAGTACCAGGCCAAAGTTCCTAGTTCCTGGGTAAAGTTCCTGCGGTGGAAACGCGGCTTTAATTCCATGTTAATTGCAATTGATTGAAAATGTATTATAGTTTACAATATATGTTAAATGCATTCAGCTGAACTTTTAAGTGCTTTTTTCATAAATAGAACTTATATTCTATTTATGAAAAAGCCCATTATATGCAAGTTCATTACTTTTATTGTATTTGAATTACTGAAAAGCATTTATGATAAACTAAAATATACTTTTTTTACTGAACCTTGTATGTAATATATTTGTAATGGTCTCGTACAGTTTTGGTTTCATTTCAGTTCCTTTTGCTAGTTGGTTTCATTAGTGACTGATTACGTTCACCTGTGGTTCATTTAGTTCCTTCATTAACTGTATTTAAGCCTTTAAGTTTCCTCAGTCCTTTGTCCAGTATCATTTGTGTTTGTGTGATAATGTTAAATGAGTTTAAATAAGATTCCTAAAAGGCTTTGTTATTAAATTTCCTGTGTCATGTGATCATTGCTTTGAATGTGACATAATTACAAATGTGTAATTACAATATTTTAAATAAAGAAGCAATTTAGCACATTTAAAATCTAGTACATTTAAATGTAAAATTGTATAACAATGCACTACTGTTTAGATTATAATCAAATACTTTAGTATGTTACTCAACATCAGAATAAGCGTAATTCTTTGAAATTGCACTTTTTTTTAAAGTGCAACTAAACATATAAGTGCACTCTCTTTAAGTATACTTATGTGGCCTTTTATTTCATTGATATTATATGATTTGCAAGTAGTTTTTTTAAATATACATGTAAGATTTGAAGTACACTACAAGTGCACTTTCAATACAATTACATTCACTCTTTTTCACAAGAGTGCTAACAGAATCTGTGCATGTTTGTCTCCACAGAGATTGTCAGAGCCATGACCTACGTGATAAACCAGGGCATGTCCATGTACTGGGGAACCTCACGATGGACAGCTATGGAAATAATGGTAAGTAACCGTTTTCTTAACCTCGGTTGTCATGAGATGCTTCATTCAACATGTCAGCCTGCAGGACACAGCATTTCAGCAGAATTAAGTGCATCACTTGCATGTCATGACAGAATTGCTGATCATTGACTTTCTTTAGGCTTGAGTTCAGGAGCAAACCGTGTGTTTGCTGAAACAACAACCTCAGCTCCTCTAGTGTATATTGGCCACTTCACATATTTTTAGCCCTTTGACTGAAGTCAGTGGTTTGTCAGTGCTGTATGTTGCTGTAATTGCAGAGTGTTGCACAAAGCAAGTTGGCACAAACTGATATGTTGTAATTAAGCACTGACATTATCAATTCATGGGCGATAAATGTAGGCTTGATCAGTTTTTACAAAGAGGACACACACTGATGACCTGTAATTTGTGTGACTGTGATAATACCATGTTCTAGTGTCACGCCAGATCTATCCCACGATCCCAGATCTAAACACACCCCCATGACTGGAACGTGTTTACAGCCTGAAATGATACCAACGGAGCCAATCAGTTATGTGATATTACTATACACGATATTGGAGAAAATAACTAGTTGTCACACTTTTTACTACAGTAAATATTTCCCAATGTTAGTTTACTTTTGAAAGTTAGTTTCTACCTTAAAAGCTGCAGAAAATTATTATATTATATTATATTATATTATATTATATTATACAACAGCAGTGAAGTTGTATATTACATTTTAGACTGAATGATAGAAATCGGTGTTTGAAATCAACATGATTTGTGAAAACCGGCATTTTTGCAAACTAGGTTTGTTGCTGACTAGCCTCAGGCATCACTATATAAATAAAATAAAAGTATTTTAAATAATTTCCAGCATGTAATATCTGCAATATCTGCTTCTTCTGATGGCCCAGTAAAGACATTATGAAAGCACTTGGAGATGGAAATGTATGAATTGTAGCTATTACAGAGATGTATGCGTATATTTGAATCCAAAAGTGTAAATCTGATTGTGTGTTTCTAGGAGGCGTACTCTGTAGCGAGGCAGTTTAACCTGATTCCTCCAGTGTGTGAGCAGGCGGAGTATCATCTCTTCCAGAGGGAGAAGGTCGAGGTTCAGTTGCCGGAGCTCTACCATAAGATAGGCAGGTGTCAATCAATCATCATTTACTCACTGAATCCTGACTGTCATGCAGCGGCGGCTCATCTAGATTGTGTGTGTGACTGTAGGTGTGGGCGCCATGACATGGTCCCCTTTAGCCTGTGGGATCATCACTGGAAAGTATGAAAATGGTATCCCAGAATCCTCTAGGGCATCTATGAAGGTACCAATGTAATCCTAATTTGCTAGATATGTGCTCGCTTGCATATATACAATGACAAATAGAGTATTTATTTTGTGCCATGCTTCTTAGATAGATATCCATAATAAAGGCTAGATGTCTGGTCCGCGCTGCTGGCCAATGGAGGTGGACGTCCGCACTGGCGGCCATCTTGTCACAGGCAGCTCGCTCACTCTAACATTGTGTTTTAATGGTGCATGTACTTTTTAAATAACCATAAATTGCTCAATTTTCTACCGATTTTCAAACGCTTTGGTTTGTTATAAACGTCAGAGATGTAGTTATGACACTGCATACTTATGAATAATAAGTGTATAAATAAAATAATCATGCAGAATTATAGCCACGTTAATAACGTTTGTAAGAAACCAAACCGTTTGTAAATCCGACAAGATTTCAACGAGATAAGAGTATTAGTGTTCGTGCTGATCACTCATCTTACATCAGGCACCACAGAGCCCGCCAGAAAGCTTGCCTGTGACAAGATGGCCGCCGGTGATGACGATAGAGACTCCGCCGTAAGACATCTAGCCTTTATTATGGATATCTATGCTTCTTCCTACCCGACTTTACTTTTTGTTTTGTCCAGTCGTACCAGTGGCTGAAAGACAAGATCGTGAGTGAGGAAGGACGAAAGCAGCAGGCGAAGCTGAAAGAACTCACTCATATTGCTGAGAAGCTTGGCTGTACTCTGCCTCAGCTGGCCGTAGGTAAGACCGGTCCAGCAACACTTCAAACACAACCAGTCGTCTTGCTTCGTATGATCGTCCACCATGTCAACAAATTGTACTGAAGCCTTTTTTTGTTCTCCAGCCTGGTGTCTGCGGAACGAGGGAGTGAGTTCAGTCCTGTTGGGAACCTCAAATGCAGAGCAGTTAACTGAAAACCTGGGAGCCATTCAGGTGAGATCCAGGCCCAGTTTACACCTGGGGCCTCATTTATAAACGTTGCGTACGCACAAAAGAAGGCGTATGCCGCTCTCTACGCAATAATCGGTATTTATAAAAAGCAAACTTGACGGTAAAATGTGCGGTCCTTCACGCAAGCTCTGACCCAGGCGTACGCACAAAAGAAGGCGTACGCCGCTCTCTTCACGCAAGCTCTGACCCAGGCGTACGCACAAAAGAAGGCGTACGCCGCTCTCTTCACGCAAGCTCTGACCCAGGCGTACGCACAAAAGAAGGCGTACGCCGCTCTCTTCACGCAAGCTCTGACCCAGGCGTACGCACAAAAGAAGGCGTACGCCGCTCTCTTCACGCAAGCTCTGACCCAGGCGTACGCACAAAAACGGGTGAAATGAGAAATGGCGACACCGTCGGCAGATGGAAGAAACACGTGAAAGTGTGTGAAACTGTAGACCGTTGTGTAAAATAAATGGCAATACTGCCTCTCATAAATAACACGAAGACGTCACAAAGCAAGTCTTACAATTAACAGCCAACACGAACACCCGTTTGATCGATCTGCAACAGAAATGCAAATTAAAACATATTTGTAAAAAGAAAAGTGAAATATGTTCTGCAATAATATTGGCATGTTATACAATTTATCCTCAAAAATAAGATAAACAGAACGAAATAATGTACAAAACTGATATTCTCGCCAATGTGTCCGTCAGGCGGAGCAGATATAGATGCAATTAGATAGATAGATAGATAGATAGATAGATAGATAGATAGATAGATAGATAGATAGATAGATAGATAGATAGATAGATAGATAGATAGATAGATAGATGTATTATTTGTCCACTGGGGAAAGTTGTTTTCATAGTAAAAATGTCTTTATCAGCTACGGAATCATGGTATTCATGCATATGCCTTTAGTTTGTTTTATTTTTGATTAAATAACGTATGACGTATGTCTCAATCATTCAGAAAGCAAGAAATTACATTTGCGCTGAACTATTTCCCATTTCCAAGTAGATTATAACCGACATCTGTAGCTTGTCATTTCTTTTTTATTTCGGCCACAGTCCGAGGTTGTGAGGCTACAGCATTTACAGCGTCTGCAACCTTTTGCCACAAGTGCCTTTTTGGCATTAGTAATGCCCACACTGTGCCCTCCAAACAACATTTTGTCTCCTCTTTTCCACCTCGCCAACGATAACTTCTACTTCACATTGAGTGAAGTTACGTTTTTTTTTATTTCCTCTCTATGTTTGCCATGATTTCGCAATCGATGAATATTAACTTGTGGGCGTTTCACGGACTATTTATGGGCAACTATGGGGGTGACATGAAGCCGCAAAAGCTGCGCTACATTTAGAATTGATTGTGATTTTTTAAGGGAAAAATGCGTAGAATGTGCGTGCGCACGGTTTTATAAATCCGAATATTTCTGTGCGTACGCACGTCCTATGTTTCATCCGTACGCCACTTCTGACGCAAATCCTACGCAAAGTTTTATAAATGAGGCCTCTGGTGTTAAGATGCGTTTTGGTCGATCGGATCACAAGTAGACGAGAGACACATTCCCGTTTACACCTAGGGTTTCAATCCGTCCACTTTCAATCACTTCTGTCCTGATTTCTTCGAGGCGAGGGTCTATGGGTGTGTAAATGCTTGGGTTTTTCAGATCTTTCGATCTAATGGACGAAATAAGCTCACGCAATTTACATATGAATGTGAATGGATGATGGAAAAACACACGGAGAGCATCAGCTTTCGTTTCTGCTCTGACAGACGTAAGACCAGCCGAACGCTGTGAGTGTGTGTTAGAAATCAGGAATGGTGAGAGAACATTGTGCTTGGTACATTTTTTTGTTTTTTCATCTTCAAACAAAACTTGGGTCTCCAGTTGACAAAGTTTAAATCCCGTCTGGCTATTGTGCTTCTCATAATGTTTACGCATGAGGTCAGTAGGCGTCTTTCGCGGCTGTTCGGACACATGAGCGTTTCACTATGAAAGCGATGCGTTATTGACAGCCTCTGGAAGTGGTTGAAAGTGGACAAGCTCAAAACGTTTTATGCCTCGTGTACACCTGTATTTAGCGTCGTCCACCTGTGATCTGATCGAATACCAGGTGTAAACAGCCCTATTGACTTTCTACGCATCTATTCATTTCCAGAAGATTCCTAACTAATTTATTTGCACATTCAGGTACTTCCAAAGATGACATCCCATATAGTCTCAGACATTGATCATATACTTGGGAACAGGCCATACAGTAAGAAGGACTATCGGTCCTAGTGGGTCCGGACACACACTCATGGTGAAGGGAGATGTGTGTGTGTGTGTAGCAGTGTTCGTGCCCTAGTGGTTCCTGCTCCAAATCTGTTTCCATCATCGGTCTGACCTCTCTCTGAAGCCTTAGAGTGCCGTCCTCCATAACCTGTACCTGCTGGTGTGCCTTTACACCCCAACACCACAGCGAGAATCCCACGACTGGTGTCACCTTGCAGGAGACCTTACATAAACACCCATGACCCATGCTTGGCCTCTGCTCTCAAAACCATCAGCCACTGGGATGCCTGCAGGTATTAGCACACAGTGGAGGAACAGCGCATGTCGCCCTCTTGTGTTCGAGTACAGCAACTGCAAACCTGTTTCACAGACTCGGACTCGGTGGAACAATGTGCATTCGTAAAGATTCGAGCTGTTTTGCCTGTGCAAGAATACCTGTATGATATATTATGAGTGATATTTTAATAGAGAATATGTGTGTTTGCTTCATAATGTGAGCCACATGTACATGTGGTGGAAAAATAACTCAATGCACACCTCGGACCTTGGAAATTACTTGAATGAGGGTAGCATATGTGATTATTGAACATGCAACTGTATTATAAACCGACTTCAATCCGCACTGCATTATAATATACAGTATTAAAGTTAATCTGACATGCATAGAGTATATTATACCAGCATCCTAATGCATTCATGGTAATGTTTGATTATAAATGAGTGGCTTGATTTTTCTTTAGTAACAGTAAGGAAGAATTTAATAATTCAAGTGATGCCCTTGTGAAAAAGAAGTGTGCTTAGTTGTATTAAATGTGCACTTGTAGTGTACTTCAAATCCTAAAAGTAAAAAACTACTTCTAATTTCAATGAAATTAAAGGCCACTTTCAGTTTCTTAACACTTAATTGGACTTTTTAAAAGGTTTTACGGTACTTTAAAGTAAATTTTAAATCAGTAGGTTTCGATAATCTTTTGTCATGCTTTAAAGAAGTACTTATTTTGATGTGTTGACTAACATACCAAAGCATATCTAAAGTACTTGCTTATAATTATTACATTTAAAGTTACTATATTTTAAATTACAAATTTGCCATTCATTTACAAATGTGTAATTACTAATTTAATTAAATTCATGACACAAGTTTCAACAGATTTTTTTTTAAGTATCTTTAAGTTTATCATAAATGCTTATTAAATTCAGCAGTACACTTTAACTATATTTAAAAGACAATATAATATAAAAGATTTTGTAATTACGTCCTACTTAAGTGGGTCAAAATATACACTAAAGTTCAGCTATATGTATTTATTCAATACATTTTCAATGAATTAAAATGCAATTTAAGTATATTATTTTAAAGTATATTATTTCCATGATAAGTACTTTTTTTTTTTTTTTTTTTTTTTTTTTTTAAGTATTCCTTTTCTTTTTCACAAGGGTTAGTTCACCCAAAAATGAAAATCCAGTCATCATTTACTCACCCTCATTTTGGTCCAAACCTGAATGACTTTATTCCAGTTGTTGGACGCCATTGACTTTCATGGTATGGAAAGAAAAAAAAGAGATGTTTAAAAAAAAAAAAATACCTCATAGGTTTGAATCATCATAAGGGTCAGTGAATAATGACTGTCCCTTTATGCATCAAGGAGCTCCTGATCTGCATGTCAGCATTAAGATATAACAGAGGTGGATTTGATTGACAGTTTGCGGGTGCCTCGTGTGTGACTTTATAGCTCTTGCTTGCCCTACTTGAAAGCCATACTTTATCATGCCCCAGATATTTTAAAGACTGACAAGCTGCTTTACCCTGTAGTATTTAACTTCTCAGAGCTTTTCGATTCATTTGAAACCTGATGGATGTTGGCTTGAGAAAACAAGATGGCTCTGAACAGAAAACCATCAAAAACAGTGTGTACATAGTGTTACCTTTAGTCTCCCTGCGGAGTGCCTTGATTCTCACCTGCATGAACATTAGGGCTTGCCCATTCTCCCATGGGTCCATGAGTGGAATACTGTGAGCTTTTCTCAATTGTAAATGAAGTATTTTACAAAAACAAAGAAATCACACCGTGTGGTGGCTATTGTTTTCTAAAGTTTGTAACGTTGAGCTGAGTTGTTGGATACACAGGCTGTTCTGAATCTCTGCATCAGGGTCTTTTCTCATGTCATGCGTCTCTCTCCCTGTACGACAGCAGTGACTTCTGTAAATATCAATATGTAAACAGTAGATAGAGGTAGAATATATGCTTGAAATAAAAACACATAAGGCCAGTAAACCCATGTGTGTGTGCTTGCTTGTTATGGGTGGAATCGCCATCAGAAATAACAATAAAGTGATATACAGTATATCCTTGTGAAATATGTATATACCCCCTATTCCTTACAGTAAAATATGACAAGATACATGAGTAAACAGTCTTTTATTGGTACAAAACGAAAACTAGAGAAGACCAGACGAGCCTTAACTGATCATGAATTTCATGAAGCTTTAACAGATTAAATGATAAACCCCCTCCCGAAATATAACAAACCACATCGCCCTCCCCCACACAATCCTCATTTTGCGTGTTCCTCAATCTTGTCCTGTTTTATTTGGAGCCAGTGGACAGCAGGGCGATCAGACCTGAAGAAGCGCTGATGGACAGAATGTAGTTCCTGCGACAAACACAAGGCAAATGTCAACTTCTGAACCAATCAACAGGCTTTAAAAGACTAAACACTAAAGTACGTACACTGTTGGATTGAAGTTCTTCAGCAGGAAGAAAGAGGCGATGATGACGAGCATGAGGAAGAGCGTGTTGTTGTAAAAGATGGAGAAAGTTGTGGCCTCGTAATCGGCGACCTCGTTCTTTTTCCAAAGGATCCTGCGGGAAAGTCTCAGTGTTAGGAACAAAGCACTTTCGGTTACACTATTTTAATGTGTCCCTGTTACAGTGTAATTACAGATTTAAGTACTGAGTAATAATAATTAACTACATGTACTTACTATAGGGTTAGGGTAGGATCAGGATTTGGTTGAGGGTTAATTGCATGTAATTATGCCTGATTTATAGTTATTACTAGCCTGGGAAAACCCAGACAACTTCCGGCAAATTTAGATTTGCTCTGAAAGTTAGTCTGGCGAAGAGCTCACTCAAGCCCATTTCCAATCCGCCGAAATCGAGGCACCAATCAGAAACGTTGGGGCGGGCTTTACACGATGACGACAGCGCTGGGATTTTGAAGCAGATTTTGTAGCCTACATTACAAAGATGGATGCCGCCGTCGAACATCACTCGTTCCAATCAGCTATCGCGTCTGTTTTAAGCCATTTGAACGTTTCCTTTTAGTTAAAAACCGAGCAAAGAACAACACTCGGAGATGTTTCTCCGCCGCTCTGCATACGTCATCTCCTTCATCGCTCTGATTGGGTTTAGGTCTATCCGCGACGTCCGTTGGTGACGCCCCTCTGGAAATGATTTGTCTATGACGCTTTGCCAGACCATAACTCAGTTACAACTGAGAATGCTCTGGTTTTAACCAGGCTAAGTTATTACTATAGTAAAGACATGTAACGTGTGTAACAAGGACACATTAAAATGAAGTGTTACCGCACTTTCAAACAGTAGGCATGTCCTGTGCCTTATTTAAGACAGCAGAAATGGTTCATTTCATTTCTGTCTTCAATAATAGCCAGTGTTGTTAATGGTTACTAAATCGAACACTAGAGCTGCACGATTAATCCTTAAAAAGATCACGATCTTAAACCTTTGACTAATTCACACCGGAACAGTTCAATCTGTGTTTGCGATGCCGCGGAGCATTTACAGGACTGTTAAAAATGTGTCATTGAATCATTCACTCAAGAGTTTCATTCAAAAACGCTGATTCAAGCAGTAATGAAATTAGTCATTGAATTAATCACATGACATGAATTATTAACAATTTTGTCAGAACCTCTTATAAATTACATATTTTGTTAAGTTGTCTGTTCAGAATCATTTTAAACAAAACAAAAAAAGTAGTATTTGTTTTCGGTAACTTAAATAAAGCTGAAATAAAATAAAATATTACATCTAAAACTACATAAATACAAATATTACATAGTTAGAATTGTTTCCTTGACAGTTAACTGAAATAATTTAAGCACTAAAATAAAACTAAATTAAAGCTATATAGAAATATATAAAAACATAACAAGAGCACAATAAAATGACTAAATCAGGTAAAAGTAATACAAAAATAACACTGATAAAAATAGACAAGCCAATTAGAATTTGTCCTAATTAAGATGAATACCTCTCGTCCTTCTCTTTGCGGGACATTTTGCGGTTGTCGGCCTCAGAGAGCTTGCGAGTCACTTCTTTAGACACGGCATCTTCACGCTTCTGAGCAACCCTGAAAGTATAGCAGTTGATCAATTCAGTCTAATGAACTAATTCAGTTCACAAAACCCAAGAGAGAGAGAGAAAGGAAAAGAGATGGGCATTCTTACTTGTGCTTGAGGACGAATTTGACATTCTTGTAAGCAAAGGCCACCAGGTAAGTGCTGACTAGAGTCATGACTGCATACAGCACTGCAGACTGGACCAGGTCCATGTGCCAGATCCTCCAGAACAGCCCTGGCACAACATGACACAAATGCAGGAATTATGAATACATAACAATAACAGTCGGCATCAATCATCAGTGACCATTTAGTCTCAGGAAAGAACGCAGATATAGTATAACACAAAAGCTTTATGTGAGAATCAATAGCACACTAGTGTCTAGGTAAGCAGCTCAATGTTTAACTTAGACTCAACCAATACATTTACTCATTTAGCAGACGCTTTTATCTAAAGCAGTTATACTAAAAATAGGACAACAATATGTAACGTTAAGTGCTGTGACCCTCACCCTTCCCAGTTTAGTCAAACGTAGTAAAGTTACATAGATAGATAGATAGATAGATAGATAGATAGATAGATAGATAGATAGATAGATAGATAGATAGATAGATAGATAGATAAGTTAAAGTAAGTCTGAGTCTCGTCTTCAGCAGGAACAGATGAGGGACACACAGATGAGGAACTTACAGATGGGGATTGCGGACACGATTAGCGCATTGCCGTAGAATAGCGCTGTGGATTTGGCCGACAAGTTCCTGCTGAAGTCCTGCAGGAGAAGATCCTCCTCTGACTGCTGTTTGCTGGCGCTTTTAGGAGCCATGTCTCCGGTCTTTCCACTGCTCGGATCCTAGGCTTGGTTGAAAAGAGACAGACACGTATGTGATCCGAATGGATGAAGCGGTTACGCCGCGTCAGCACAAACAGTGACGTAGAAATAATGCGCGCAGAACTCAAGGAGACTCGCGCTGAGATGCTGCCTGCTAGTGTCCGGGAGGGTCTCGCGCATTTAAAGGGACAGTTCGCTAAAAGAAACTGAAAAAAGAAAAAAGAACCCCCCCCCCACACACACACACACAACAAAAAAACACCATGACTATATTGTAATTACATGATATTATGAAATGTTGAAGATGCCTGCAAAAAAGGGGGATCATATCTCATTTGTGCCTTACGTTTATCCTAGACGTTTGTTTTATAAAAAATATTTGCACCACTAGATGGAGACAAATAGCCTATTAACATTTATGGAAAAGTTAAAGAAAGTTTGGCTATAACAGTGGTTAATGCTATGTATGTACAGTACTTCCTTTGCTATCTATCTATCTATCTATCTATCTATCTATCTATCTATCTATCTATCTATCTATCTATCTATCTATCTATCTATCTATCTATCTAATCTTATTCATTTCATTTTTGTTGTGAAAGGGCCATACATTTGCAAGAAATATGACTTTTTTTAGTTTGTTATTAAAAAACAAACAAGCAAGCCCAGCCCAGGTGAGGAAAAGTAACACAAAAGTAACGTAACATATTACTTTCCATAAAGGTAATGCAATTAGTTTTTTGGGGAGTAACGCAATATAACGCGTTGTATAAGTAACTTTCCCCAACCATCATTACATGTTTGAGAAAAGCAGATTGCTGACATTATAACTCTCTGAACCAATAGTATCCAGCTGCAGACCCGCAGCACCACCAGTTTCAGAACCCCAGCGCCAGAACCGGGAGTAAGGGGCGGAGCTTACGTTCTAACACCAGCGCCAGGACCGGAAGTGAGGGGCGGAGCTTACGTTCTAAACCGAGTAAGGGCCCGTTCACATATCGCGTCTTTTGCGCGCTCAAGTTCATTATTTCAAATGGAGGCGCGCGGTTTGCGCGCTCATAATGGAAGCGACGCGGTCGCGGTGCGACGCGCTCGTTTTTTCCAGGCGCGTCCGCGCCGCATCGAGATAAAAACATCTCAACTTTTCAGAATGCCGCAAGCGCACCATAAGCGCACAGTAGGTCACGTGACAAGAACCAACCGGAGCGCAACCGCCCTAGCGTTTTGAAAAAAAAGAATGCGGCGCGCCCAGCGTTTTCTACGCGTTTTTAGGCGCGATATGTGAACGGGCCCTAACGCCACCTAACGTTTTGGAGCGTAATTTGCTTAGACACGAAACGGCATTTTTACACACGAAACGTCATACTTTATTCGTATTATAATGATACATTAAGGTATAGTACAATAAGCATTTTAAAACATTGATTTTGTGTAATATAATTCTATATAGTTATCCGTTTCATTGTATTATGAGAGTTACTTCCTGATCATGATGGTGAAAAATAATACTTGAAACTTATGGTCATTTTATATAAAATATACTTTATTTCACAAGAACATGTGCAGCATGCATTTTTCTTTATGTAAAATAATGTCAAAAATCTAAAAAGAGAGAGAAAATCCGGCATTGTTTTAAAAGAAACAATAAAAATGTACCGTACTTGTCTCCTTTACACGCCTGGTGTGGCTGCAGGTCTGGGTAAATAAAGGCCGGTCTCAAATAGAGGTCGGGTCTGTTTTTTTAGTTTCAGGTTGTATTAAATCTTCTAAAACCCGTCAGATCGTCCGCTTTTTGGCGGCCGCCAAAGCAAATTTGTGTCCCGCCAAAGCCTATTTTGATCGGTGAGTGATGAATAGAATGACTGCTGCGCATGACAGGGCAGAGCAGAGAGAGAGAGAGAGAGCCCTGGCCGCGCGCGCGCACTCTCACGTCTTCAAACAACACGAGCGCTGTCTTGCTCTTTATTTGTCACATACCAGTTATAGTTCATACAAGGAGCAGTGACTCACTGTGTAATAAAAACATACCCTAAATATTATTTAAAAGGTGCAACAATTTTAAATATTTTCAAATACTTGCAAAAATAACCATGCTTGTGTCATTGTAAATAATTCCGCCCCTCCCTCACTTCCGGTTCTGGCACTGGGGTTCTGAAACTGGTGGTGCTGCGGGTCTGCAGCTGGATATATCTCCTCTGAAGGGCAGTTTGGGACAGATACAGTTTTTACAGACACTGAACAAAGAAGCTGGTGAAATTACACTTGTCTACCACCACGCCACTTTTGATAACTACTCATTACCTCATTTACCCTTGTTTCTGACAACTTTGAGCTTAGTGTGGGAAGGCAGAAGCACAGAAGATGATGAGACATTTACTGTGGTCTGACCGGAGAGAAAGAAACGAGAATGAAAGAGACTATCTGGCAGTCATTGATTGCACAATGGTTGAAGATGATAAAGGAAAGCAGAAAGCACTAGAGCAAAGTTCAGGTAAACGGGTCCTGGGTTTCCCCGGTCAATAAAAGGCAGGCATGGGTGTAGTGTAGACCTCAGGGTTTGTTTCTTTATTTAACATCAGAATGACTGACAGCCCAGTCATGGCAGCTGGTTTGATCACATTTGCACCTCTTTCTTGAAAATGGGTGGATCCGTTCAACGGCAGCCAGAAATGCATGTGACGGAGCTTTGATCCGAAAGATCACGACTTTACGAGGTTCATATGATGACAATGTTGTGTGTTTTGTCTTGCTTGTTGTTCCTCTTGCCCTTTTTAGATCTGGGGCGTGTGTTAAAAGCTATAGAGCCAAATGTTAATAAAAAAAAACAGGACTATGTCAAGTCAAGTCACCTTTATTTATATAGAGCTTTATACAATACAGATGCTTCAGAGCAGCTGTACAGGAATAAACAGTACAATAATAATGATTCAATGGTGCAAACCAGAGTTCAGCAGCTCTAAAAAGACGATAGTAAACATTCATTATTCAGGGGAAATCAGTGGATTCAGTTCAGTAACTGTGTAAAGATCATCAATTATGAAATGAGTTCAATTCATCAATAAAAAAGCTCAGTTCAGTTCTCATCCAATAGTGTCAGTACAGTCAAATCAACATTTTTTGCTGAAAATACGTGTAATAACACTAAGGAAGATATTTTGAAGAATGTTTCAGTTTTGAGACTTCCATAGTATATGGAAAAATAAATACTATGGAAGACAACGGTGCCCCAAAAACAAACATTCTTCAAAACATCTTCCTTTGTGTTTAGCAGAACAAAGACTTTTTTTTTACAGGTTTGGAAGAACTTTTCATTTTTGGGTGAACTATCATTTTAACACCTTTTAATTTCTTTTCTATAGATGAAATATGGCAAGGAAGGACTTCAGTATCCCTCCTTGCCAAACATGTGTTTATACTCTGAGATATGATATCTGAGAATAGTGCTGTTCTGTGTCTGTTTGCCTATATGACAGAAGGCTATTGGTTCAAGTGAGGTAATCGGTTTCCTCAATTTAAATCAGTTTGTGTGTGTTTTACAATACATTCAATACATTATTAAACAAGATTGTTTAATAAGTTGCTAGGGTGTTGTGAGTGATTGCAGTTGAGAGGTTGTTCAAGGTGGTTACTGTTTTATCAAGGTGGTTCGGTTGTTTTATCATCAAATCGCCTATAATAAAGCACACCTATTCTCAAAAAACGGCACATTTGTCCGTTGCACAAACAGTGTGAGTTAATGAGTTTAATATTTAGCTAAGTTTACTTAGTGGCGGTTGTCTCATTATGAACATTAGTAACAGATGCTTGCCTTAAAAAAACACTACTACTTATAAGCGATTATTAGGAATGATGTTAGCCAATGTGTTACTTAAGAAGTGTGTCCTGTAATGGAAGTCTATATAAGAGTCTGAAAAGGCTTTTTTGTTTGTAACGGGTCATAATGCTGTTGAAAAGCACAGAGCACATGTTTATCCTGAGGCCAAAGGCTCGAGGGTCACAGCGCCCTGCCAAGGCCGCTTGCAAAAGCAAACAACCGAAAGAGAGGGAAAGAAAAACTCAAGACGTTGACATTTTGGCAAGAGAGGAAAGCTCGTTCGTCCATCTGCATCTGAAAGGTCACTGCGTTTTGTGTAGCGTCAACCCTGCGTGTGAAGAACACGGGAGATGGGAAAACACACCACTCAAAAAGCAAAAACAACACAGCAGGAACTCCAACAAAAGCGGAGATGGAGGATTAAATCATAATAAAAAAAACCTCCTTGACTTTAAAATCGACCTTTTCATCTAAGAATAGACTGAAAAAGAGACAGAATGAGGAGGAAATAAGTTAGCTTGACATTCTGGCCTTCAAAGTCTGTGTGCCCAGAATGACTTCACCGTTTGTGCATCTTTGAAGACACAAGAGGAAAGAAGAACACATGGTTGTGCGAGAGCTGTGATTATGTGGTCAATATGCTGAACAAACACATATTGTGCAAAAGCAGATGCATTTCTCATACAGATTTCTTGTGACTTCCTTTGGCAAGAGACCGGGTTGGAGAGGTAAATATAATGCTACGAATGACGTAAATCACTGCCAAGTTTATAGTGAGTTTGAGTGAACAAGGGTTTGGTTAAACTACCGTACTCCATTATGAACATATACACGTGAAAGAGAGAGAGAGAAGAAACGAGAGGGAGACTGAAGGTTGATTGTAAATTGTAAATACAAATGAGTAACTCTGAACATAAAGATATATTTCTATTTCTAGAATTGGCACAATTACATTACTTAATAAAAATATTGAAAAATATGTCAGTATCTTTAAAATATCTAAAAATTCTTAAATCAAGAAGCATTTAAGTAAAATTACAAGAAATGATATCTGTTTTTCTGAAGAAGAAACTAAATCTAAATTGAGTGAGTTTTGCTTAAAACAAGCTAAATGATCTGCCAATGGGAATGGGGTAAGACAAATAATCGTGTTTTAATTTTGCTCACTCAACTTATGAGAATATCTTATGTCATTTTACTAGTAAATGCTTCTTGATTTAAGATTTTGTAGATATTTGGACTGGAAGCAAGACAAAAATACAAAATAAGA